GAGCAATTACTAGAGCATTCCCGAAAGAACAAGATAGTTCTAGAAGCTAGAGGGCGCCACAGTGGTCACGTGACTCGCTGACGCAACAATATTATTAATTACAAAAGACTTGCTCCTCTTTAGTGGACAAATTTGTCAAGAAACTATACTAACAATCCCCCAAAGACCAACTCAGTGTAGAAAGGCTTAGTGATGACTTACTTTGTGGAAGGAAGGAACATATGCATCAAATATACTGATAGATTACTATTTGCACTAAACTTACCCTTGTATGTATAAAATTACGTGAACATGAAAAAAGAAAGAAACCACGCAACAAAACAGATTACAAATCAGTTTATTCACTAATATTTTAATGTTGAAAATTAGAAATTGTATTGTGTTGTAGGTATTGTAAAATTTGTAACAATGAACACGCTATTTTTCCTTATGATATAGTCATTTTTTTCTTTTTTGAATTTATTTATATATATATATACTTATATGGCAGTATATCACCATGAGAATCGAAACCAATCTTGATAACTGGCTACTCTACACTTAAATATTATGTGACAAACAAAAAGTACCATCAAAGCGATGACAATCTTCCGAAATCTTAAGCCTAAAATTATTAAGTCTTTATAAAATTTACAAAATTATATTACAAACGTGTTTTTATAGAGTAAAACTCGTAAATTGAGCTTCCACAGTACTATAGTGTTGTTGTTAATGAATTCTTGTCGGCATAGGCTACTTAAAAAATTAAAATAACTAACATATGTACAATTGTTGGTAATTTTAACTGATTGTTTGTCTCTTTAAGCACAAGCTGCCCAATGGGATACCTGGGCTCTGCCCACTACGGGGATCGAAATCCGATTTTTAGTGTCGTAAGCCTGCAGACTTACCGTTGGGTCATTGTTTTTTTTTTGGGGGGGGGGGGGCAGTAAGTTTTAGAATTTTGCGCCAAACTATAAAATAGCACGTAGTCGATCCTAATTTGGAGATCACAGACTAGAGAAAAGGCAGTTAGTCAACAGAGCCCATCCCCTACTCTTGGTATACTCTTATCTGGTCGAAATGTGTGGAGAGAGTTTTTTGCTAATGGGACGCGAACTATGATCTTACACTCGGCCCGACGTGTATATAGAGCAACACGTTTAATTTGAACATTCTACTGAATTGTAACTTTAACTAAGCAAACACAATATAAATTGTATGAAATAAAAAAACAGTATGTCATTGTACTAGAAATAAAAAAAATCAATTACCTAAAGCATGAATGCTTCTTAGGAAGATTACTTGGAACTTCATGTTCTTCCTGAAGAGAGGTGCAGTTTGGTCTAGGGAAAATACGAGATCAGGAAACTCAAATGACTGAACAATTCGATAAAAAGAAATAAAATATCGCTTTAAGATTTACTTTTTATTAGAATTAATAATTAAGAGATATTGCTTTTCACAGTTTTATCTACTCCTTAGACTCCAACTGCTGGCTAATTTATAGTTATCAATTTTGGATCCAGTTTCCTGATAGCTAACATTTCTTTGGTTCTTGCATTTTGTTCGTTGTTTGAACTGAATAATTTTAAAGTTGTTTTCGTGCACATTCTTAGTGTAAATAGCAGCATATCTTTACAGATTACAAACATTAATCTTCAAATACTTATTTACACACTGCTCTAAACGATCCGTGGTTGATCCAACATAATCTATCCATATCGAAAACAAACATACCCAAAAACAAAGTAAGATCGTTGAAATTTATTAATTTTCTCCTTCATTTTGAAAATGTATCTATTCACAACACTGATTTTAAAGCCACGCCCACCGAAATGTGAAGAGAGTTTGGTTTCAAAACATTTTTGATTTTGATTTCTCATAATACAATTATCTTTAGCCATATCAAGCCCGGCATGGTCAGATGGTCAGGGCGCTGGTGGAGGCTGGTGTTAAATAAGTTTTGAACGTCGTGGCCCATTTTACGAGGGGGTGTACACATATAATTAAAGGCTGTGGTTTCGCTAGATAGTAGATAGGGACAGTGGGAATCTTGTTAATCTATTCATGCGCGTCACTAATTAGATGACGAGGCATTTGGCTACCTTAAGAGAGTCATCTGTTTGATCTATGATATGTTCATAATTTTAAATGGTCATCATAATTGTTAATATCAATTTTCAAAGAAAAACAAACTTGGGTTATTTTTTTCATCAACTGTAATCTAAATACCAGTATGTTGTTTATTTAAATATTCTAAAATAGATTCACATGTTCTTGTTTCTTAAAAATATTGTTGCGTCATCGAGATCATGTGACTGGTGTGGCGCCACCTATTTTCTAGAACTATTCTGTACCTTGGCGAATGCTCTAGTATTTACTAGATATAGGGTAGTCTGGTATATAAAAGAGGGTGACAACGTGACGGGAGAATAATAATGTAATGTGTGTGTAGATAGTGAGTAATCGAACTGCAGTCAGAGAGAGACGTATTGTTGAAGTTAACGTTCGTTGATATAGCGTTTGTTTTAGCGCGAATGTTGAAAATAAATGTATCGTAAAGTTGTATTCGGAAATAATAAACCAGTTTTATTAAGTAAGGACTTGTGTCGCTAAAGTTTCGTCGGAACGAAGTTACGGAAAGTTAATTAACGAACGGAGACGTAACAATATCAACAGTATTATAATTTGGTATCTAACACGTTTATAATCCTCTGGACGGTTATACTCAACTACTTTTCTTCATGATAACCCAAAAAATGTTTGTTAAACTATGTTTCTAATTTTGGGCCACAGCAACAACATGTGTTTGCTCATAAATACTGTTATACTTGTAATGATATTTCAAAGTAGTCAAGAGTTGATAATCTAATAAAAACATTTGTATTTCTATAAAGAAACAAAACATATTATTTGTATACAAATACTCGATAATGTTTGTTTGTTTGTTTGAGGTTAAGGACAAAGCTACAAAATGGGCTATCTGTGCTCTGCCCATCACGGGTATCAAAACCCGGTTCCTAGCGTTGTAAATCCGCAGACATACCACTGTTCCACTAGGGTACATACTCGATATTAAAAGTTGCTCAAAAAACTTGTTCATCAAATCATAAATCCACCAACTCTTTAGAGATCTGAAAATTATTCTTACCGTACATTTATTCTTTCCAAATACTTTAATAAAAAGTTACAAAACCTCAAAATTTCTGTTTATAATTGCCCAGGTTCGATACTAATCGCTTAATGGGAAAATTATTTTTGAATTTTTAGTAAACCATACAAAATATATACTTCTCAGTCTAATATGTTTGAATACTGTATTATTAATAACTTAATGTTTCTTTAATTTTAACAAATATCTTTGTCATTAAACTTCGCTTGTGGATCAAAATCAAGTTTTCTAAATGATAACTTTATAACTTCTCCATTCAAAATAAGTATGCCATTCCATTTTTCTTGTTTAATTATAACTATTTCTTTGTTTTGACTTAAACAGTTAATAGTTTTAGTTTCTTCCATATTTATATTAAATTTTCTTTTATACGAATAAACATGAGTTAATGGTTGACCTTGATATTTGTGTTACAATACTTATCAAAATTTCTTCCATTTTTTATATACATAAGATTGTCCTTTAGTTTTTCATGAGTTTTTCAAACATACAACATAATTACAATAGCTAACTTTTAATGGTGATATTGGAAACTAATTCTCTAGATAATACGTTATTTTCTATATCTGTGAACATATACCGAGGTACGTTTTGTATAACTTTATTTGGATCATCAATGAATGTTTTGACAGCACTCTCTGGTATTTTTAAATAATTTAATTTATTTAAGTGGCTGAATCCGGTTTGTTTTAATGTTCATTATTCGCTGTTTCTATGCAAGGTTTACTTTATAATGAGGTTTATAAATCTCTTCTAAGCCACAAGTTTACTCTACATTTTTTATTATGTCTACTCTTAAATTGTATTTTATTATTTTCCAAAATCGTCTGCTGTGCTTTATAATAGTAGTTACTATCTTTTAATTTTTCGTTACATGTCTTAATTAGGAGAAACTTTGGTGTCAATCTCAATCTCTTACATTTGTTCAAAAACTCTAAATGTGATCCATTCTTTTGGGTCTTTAAAAAACGTTTCCTAACCAATTCTGATTATTTTTAAAGTATAATTATTACATCCTTCCTTATAATACCTACTATAGAAGAAAAGTTTTTAAAATTATTTTTATTATAAATAAAAAAATAGATACTTATAATTAAAAAAATAAAATATTGTAAATACAAGACCCTCCTACTGGGACGATTCATTTGTTATGCATGAATGATATTCTCAGGTTAAGCTGAATTCGTCAAGGTATATTAGGTATATCCGCTTTAGAACAGGAGAATAAGAATAGATTACAAAGTAATATTGAATTTAGCTATCCTAACTAAATTAAATGGAAAAATAAACAGACTGAACAAAAACACATTAGGACATTGTATGGTTGCCATCTATTGGACTCGTGAATCTATCGACTGGTTTTCTTCCCTTAAAATAGCTTCCGGTCAACCAACCTGCTGTGTAGTCCTTATCTAAAGTTTTTACTTAACGAAAAATACTGGATTTACTCGTTACAGCCAATGCTTCCCATATGACTGACCACTCCCATTCAACATAATGTAATCTCTAAGTATCACCCGCTCTACCAGTTGTTGCGTATCTGCTTGTTTGATAATTTCCGGTATAAATTCTTTTCGAGGAACTTCAGCCATACAAGTTCTTTCCTGATTAAACCAGTTTATTCTTCCTCGATACAAACTTTTAGCACACAGTAAATTCACAATCAGTACGTTTCTTGTCACTTTAAACTTAACTACTTTTATAATACGCGCTATAAATCACAACGATTCACAATCTCGGAAACACCCACTAGCTCGAAACAGAATCGTAAATCACCCGGAACTCTCTTTATTCAATCATTAATTGTTGGTTTTCTCTTCCAGGCTTAAATACCAACGAAGGGAGCGTCTGGAATACACTCGGACTCCCTGATCATTCATGATCATTCGAGAAATTCAATCACGCACGTGTTAGCAGCATCACGTGACTTCTGCTGTCGTAACACTGCCCCTTCCTTAGT